ACCAGCCTGAGCAAGAGTGAGACCCTGTCAATACTAAAAATAGAAAAATTAGCTGGCCCTATTAGGGCCTATAGTCCCAGCTACTTGGGAGGCTGAGGCAGTAGGATTGCTTGAGCCCAGGAGTTTGAGGTTGCTGTGAGCTAGGCTGACACCATAGCATTCTAGCCCAGGCAACAGAGTAAGATTCTGTCTCAAAAAAAAAAAGAGAGAGAGAGAGAGAGAGAGAACTAAGGCAGCCAGAGTATTCCATACCTGTCCCCTGCCAAAGAACACAGGCTGTTCAGGGATAGGCACATGGTCTAAGCCAGGCTGTGGGAGGCATTCACTGGTCTTCTTCTGGAGCTAAGAATACTCTTTTTTGATTGGTTTGCCAAACTGGTAGATCAAAGCAGCTGGTGGCCATTTCTTAACACTACTAGAGATGGCTGGCCTGAGAACAAAACCAGCTTCATTCCAACTTCTGATACATGGTTGAGAGTCATGCTTGAAGCCACATCTGCTCCTGGACTTTAAATTTATGTAATCCAAAAAGTTTTCCCCTTTGTATTTAAGTTGTTCATGTTTACTGTCTATAACTTGCAACCAGAAGTATCCTGACTTAATACAAACAAAAGGTTGTGATAAAAACAAAGATATTTTCCAGATGTAATTAGATGTATAATCACTATTCACTTCATCATACCCTATCCTAAGGGTTTTACAAACAGTATCTCAATTACTGTACGATAGTTATCAATACTAAAAAATAATTAAACTAAATATTATGAAGAATGCATAGGTGCACACTTCTTCACTCTGAAACCAAGCATCAAATACAGAAATCAACACTAAGAACTGGGACTCAAGAAACAGGAGTAAGAAGATGAAGATGACTTTTTTTACTTTATAAACATCTAAAGTGCTTTCCTGTTTCTTATAGAACAAAATTATTACTTCCGTAAGTAAAATAGATGAATAAAAAAGTTAAAAACAGGAAGGGGAAATTCTGGTCAAAGAATACAAACTTTCAGTTACAAGACAGAGTTCCAGAGATCTAATGTATGTATTGCATACTTGAAATTTGCTCAGAGAGTAGATCTTAAATTCTCATCAGACACATCAAAGAAGGTGATGAGTATGTTAATTAGCTTGACTGTGGTAATCATTTCCCAACATATACATATATGAAAACATTACTTTGTACATCTTAAATATATATAAGTTTTGTTTGTCAATTATTCTCCTCAATAAAGCTGGAGGGGCAAAAGTTTAAAATATTATCCTTGAAGACTTACTTCATAGTGTTCATATTCATCAAGGTTAAATGAGTTGAAATTAAGGAAGCCATACTGCATTGCCTAAAATCCAAAAGAAAGCTTTTAAGAACAAAGATGCAAATAAGAAAACAATGTCCTACCTAAGTTCCTAGTAATAAATATCAGGAGGCAGTCCAAAAAGATATTATATTTAGATTACTTTCCATTGAATAGTTTTCAAAGGAAGTGGGCTGTGCCTTGTAAATGCTTCTAGTATGTGGATATCAGTTATAACAATATTTAGTGAGATTTCATTTTCTATTTTCATTCACCAATCATCCTATCTATACATAGTTAAGTAACCCCACTAACTTTCTAGATTAACTCCACCCATGGCTGAAGATTCAGAAGTTTAGGGTTCAAATATAACACACAATCCGATGGTCTCTAAATAAATAATAAAGTAGAAAAAAACATGGGCTAGTTTATCCCAAACAAAGCCCAAACACTTCATCAGTATCTTCATTTTCAAAATCTTCAGTCTTGAATTAAAAGATCAATGTTCCCTATACTAAAGACAGCTCAGACATCAACATGAAATTCAAAATTCTAAGCAAAAAAATGATTCCTTTAAGAAAATACCAAAAAATTTTCTGTCTTATCCTGTAGCCTCACTCTGTTGCAGCAGGCAGAGTACCCTAAGCAAGATAAGCAGAACATCTATTTCCTGAGACAAGGACAAACAACAGAGAACTGGCAGCCTCTGAGAAGCATCCTCCTGGCTCACTGATCACTGAGCCAGACAGGAGGCAAGCAAGAATTCTTGATCTACAAGGTAGTCTTGGTTCAAAAGGGGGCTCTTATAAACCCAGTCTTCAAAATTTACTAGTGAAATACAAATGCAAAATAAAGAGGCTAGAATGCCAACCAAAAGGTCTTCATTTTATAATATAGTTATTTAAGTACTAATCCCAAAACCAAATCCATGATAAATTTCATTTCCTTGAACTCAAAATACTCAGTATATTTCATGACATTTGGACTAGAGATGTCCCTAACAGAATGATACAAAAAGTTCACAGGTAATTCCTATTTTCCTTTGAATTTTGTAAAGTGATCTTATTGGAAATATACAGCATTGCCAAATGCTGTATACACTGATAAATGTTTCACATATGCAATAATATTCAAAATCAGTCACAAATAAAAAATATTTAAATTGAAAATCAGAAGCTGTTGACCCTTACATAAAACTAAATTTAGTGTGAAAAATGCAATCTTTCATCTGTCATACCAGCTAATTATTAATATAATTAGACTTTAGGTGCAATACTCAATTTAAAAAAACCAAGCCAATAAGTAACAACAGAGACTGCTATACGATATTACAGTAGACCATTTCCAAGACCCTCAAAACTTTTCTTTTTCTCTTTTCAAAGGTGAGTGTGCCTACCTACATTACCCGTTCCCTGGGGCCCATCTGGCAGGGGCTGTGAGTGCAACCAAAGGTGCCATTTACACCTATTGTCATTCAGTCCCCTCATCAAGCTGCCTCAGAGCCAGTGACAACTACCTCAATCAGCTCCATACCCAAAAAGTCCCTGAACTCAAAGCCAAGGGAACTGTGATCCCGTACCTCATTGCCTGATACAGGGAAAAGGGTATACCAATTAGTCTCTGAATTCATATACTAATTAGTCCTCTCATTTTAAGGCAGAAAATTTCTGATAGAATTCCCAGAAAGCCACCGTGATTCATTATATGAGAAGGTAAATCTGGGTTCCTTTTGGCTCTAAAAACACAAGTTACATAAAACCTGAGATGTTGCTGAAGCTTATTTGATTTGCTACTGATTTATGATTCTAGTTTGTTGTGCTGCCCCGACATTCAAGAAAATCCCAGGGCTTGCTGCACTGCTTAACCCCAGGGGGCCCCGTTCATTTAGAATGTGGCACGAAGGATGTTCCCTGGAGTCAAGACAGCAGCCCCGGTTATGACACACAGGAGTTATAGCTGCAAATAGTTTTGACAAAGCAGTAGTGACCCACTTAAATTTTATATAAAACCTGTAACAAACCAAATGGCTATTCAAATTCTGTTGAACTAGAAACTGAATACCCGAAAAAACGAAAATGAAGTGTTCAACAGGTACTGTGTGAGATGTCTATTGTAAACAATATTTGTGGGACTAAGACTTACAAAATACATAAATCAAAGAGAACATGGAAACCAGCCATCTATTTACTTTTTGTATTTCTTTTGAATCACAACATTCTCAAAACCAATTCTGGACCTAGAATCTAATTTCATGACAGTCTCTTACTGTCCTCTTTTTTAAGTGGCTTTCCCCCAACTCATGCATAGAAGCGCTCAGATTTTCAGAATAAACTGTTCCTGGTTTCGCTAGCTTTAATGTTAGTTGGGCAATGGAATACCTCTGTCATCATACACATCTTGGGAGAAATTCTTACAAAAAGATCTTTGGGGTAGAAGGCCTAGTCCTCCCTTGGACTATAGTTCTCCAACACAACACTAGCAGCATCCTACAAGTCACTTACCTTCTTTACTGCATGAAAACAGTCAAGAAGTGTAACGTAGAAATTGCAACTTCCATAGGCAGCATCTCTGAAATTCCAAAAGTATGGAAATACTTAGCTTAGTTAATTTAATTTTCTGTTGCAAACTTACCTTAAGACAGAGCTGACCAGAATTTAAAATCATACACTCAGAAACATTCTCAAAAAAAAGAAATCTTCCCTTTTGGTTTTTAAATAACGGATAAGTCGATTAAAAATTTCACTGCAGTTTCTACCCATTCCAATAGGTACTGTTTTATGGGTCTGGATCAATAATGACACTTCCCTAAATTTCAAATGATCTCTCTGGATCATTTTTGGTTTTGTCAGCTGAGCTTCCTTCTTGAATTCAACTAATCAATAATACCTATCTCTCCTCCTAAAAGGGCAAGGCGTTTACACTTTTCTTTAAACTAGAAAATACCATACCAACCATTACCACAAAAGATTGCTTTTTGATTTTGTATGTATGTATGTAAGTATGTGTACCTAGGTATGCCTGTATGTGTGCGTATTTCCTTCCAAGTAGGAAAAGAAATGTTGAGAAATCAAGGTAATATTTGAAATACTAGGCACAACGTCATAAGCATTTTGCTCCTATCATTACACTAGGACTTTTAAGAATTTAACTGGATAACTTTTTTCTGATTCTTAAGGGACAATAATAGTACCAATGAAATTACAGGAACTAAGGAGTCAACTCACCTTCCGTACAATCATTCTATTCTTGAGAAAGTACTTAAATTAGTTTACTGACAACTCCACCCAAACACTGCATCAATACATATCAGTAATCTTACCACATATCTCTTAGTATCAGGTAAGATATTTGTCCAGATAAATAAGACACCCCCCACTCTTCCCCTTTTTGGCTACCTTAAGCCATTATAAGATGAAATTTTTTGGAATTAGGCAACATAAAAATTAATTGAATTATGATTAAGCTAGGCACACCAAACAACTGTGCCTATCTGAATGTTACTCCATTTGCTCCTGGGTGGAACAAGGTTGCTACTGGAGCCATTGTTAAGTGCCTGCCTTGGTTGGCTTTTCACACTAATATCTCTTACTATGTAGTAAGAATATTCAACAAATGTTAGCATGAAAAATTAAATTGCACATTTTAAACTTTTAATTCTTGCCCAAACCTTAAGGGTTGAGACCATTAATTGTAGCAACATTAACAATAAGAAAAACAAAGGGCATCCTTTTCAGCCAAAATAGTCTTCGATGCTACTGACTGAGCTGGTTAGAATTACTGAGCTAATGTTAGCCTTCATGAAGACTGGACACAAGGTTTATAAGACATCATTTTTGTTTTGTAAGTTTCTGAATTGAAAAGCTTCTCTTCTAAATGCTAGAAAAGGCCTCTATTCAACCTAGAAGACGAAGATGTTACCAATAGCTATGGGCAATATTCAGAGAGGAAAAACACAACGATCTTCAGCAGAGGTACCCAGGCCTGCAGCATCAAGATCACCCCAACTTGTCAGAAATGCAAATTCTCAGACACCACTCCACATTTACTGAACCAAAATCTCTAGGGGTAGGACCAGGTAATTTGTGTTTCAACAGGTCCTCTAAGGTGACTGTAACGCATGTTCATGTTCATGAACCACTGACCTACAGAATCAACACAAATACTTGTTTTGTAGAAATAGTGTTTTCATGGAATAAGGAACAATTTTAGATAGAGAAGCTAAGGTGGAAAAATGAAGCAATTTAGCCTAAACCAAATCAAAATTACCAATGGAAATATGGCAAACTCTCAAATAGGACCCTAATGATTTTAATCATGTTGCCTCAGTTAAGTTATTATTGCCTCAGTTAAGTTATTATTATCTTCTTAACCTACTCATAATTCTTTTCTGGTCAAGTTAAAGGCATGTTGAACAGTCTCCGTAACAATTTTAAGCATTTATTCAATGTATTTTTTTGAGAACCTACTATGAACCAAGCCCCACTCCAGTCAGTGATGATCTGACAAGCTTTTGCTCTGGGATCCACCCAAGTCCTACCTCATACGTCACACTACTTGGATATACAACAGGAATCTTTCTATTCACTCATGTTTATTTCATTAATGCTTCCAATTTTAAACACACTCACATCTCCTTCCTCCCACTTGAGCAAGCAGGCTTCTTCAAATAGGCAGAATAGCAACTCTGAGTCTGGATATAGACTCAGTCTGGATATAGACCCTGTGGCTGAGGACAGGGGTTGGGCGGACACCACCTTGTTGTTAGGATCATTTAACAAACTTGGAAAACCAGATGGGATCAATAAAGAGGTACTGCTTAGAAACTGCAAAACAATGTCAAATACTAATTTTAAAAAATGGTGGTTTTCATAACAGCTTGTATTCCTAATGGCCCAAAACTGCAAATGACCCAAAAATCCATCAAAAGGACAATGGACAAATAAATTGTGGTATATTCATAGACTGAAATGCTACAAAAGCAATAAAAAGGATGAACTACTGATACTCGCCACGACATGAATAAATCTCATAGACATTATGTATTTAAAATCCAGATGCCGGCTCCCCAAAATGTACACCATATGATTCCAGTTATGGGACGCTCAAAGGCAAGCAAAGCTAAATGATGTTGGTTAGAAGTCAGAGTAGAGGTTAGTTGGGGGGTGATGACTACCTGGAAAGGAGCAGGAGGGAATCTTCTGGGGTGACGGCAAGGCTCTGTATCTTAAACTGTGTGGCGGTCACAAAGACATATGGAAAACTTTACTGTGCTGTATACTTAAGATTAGCGTTTTCTAAAATTGTATTTAAGTTATATGTCAACTTAAAGATGGAGGGACGAATAGTCAATGTTAGCTAAGGGACAAGTATTTTGTATGCAGGATGTCACTTCATCCTCACAACTCCTTTAGGGAGATTTTATTATTGTTCCCATTTATACGCCAGGAGACCAAGGCTCAAATTTGTAAAGGACCACAGAGATATTAGTGGCAGAGCTGAGAACCAAACTCCCATCTATCTGACGTCAACAGTTAATAGTCAAGCTATTAACAACTCTGCAATACTATCTCTCAAGAAAATAAAAAGCAGAGGCAAAAAAAAAATCAACTAAGAAACAAAGAGTATTATAGATAATACCAGAGAACAGAAATATATGCTCTTCATAACAATGATCCTAAGGTATCAATAAAATGTTAAACTACATTTTATCCTATTTTTCATGCAGACACACAGAGAAATATTTAACATAATTCACTAAGAAATCATATATATGCACTCTTTTAAATTCAACAGTTAAGGAATTGTATTTAAGTTAAATTGAATCTAATTAAATATTGCTATGGAACATAAAAAAGTTGTTTACTGTAAATGAATGCCATTCTTTCACAACCTCGTTTGCAATATTTTTTTAGTTACATTTACTCTAACACTCCTGTCAAGGATAAAAAGAATGTAATGCCATTTCTATCAAAATATTCTCAGGCTTTATTAATCCTCATTGGTCTACTTTCTAATTAGTAAGTTCTACAGAACTTACTAAAATGTGATGAAGCACCAAACTTAAAATTTTAAGTCCATGATAGGCTGATATTTTTGTAAAATGCAATAAATATGAAATACAATAATACAATAGTCTTGTACTATTACATATCCACAATGCAATAATCTTATCTTTGTAAATAAAATGCAAAATAGAAAATAATACAAGCCCAAATTCATTATTTGATTCCAAAAGCATAAAATTACTCTACTGAATAACTATAAACATATCTAAAATCTTATTCTCAATTTCTGTATTTATCTCATCACAGACTAGTAACGAAATGTTCACACTCTGGCACCAGTTCACACTTTGAGAAACACGGCTTCAGGTTAATCAAATACCTGGCATCTATGACTGAAGAGATTCAAATTTCACAAATCTGAATGGTTTCTAGGTAAGTCCAATTTTACAGAGAATTACTTACTGATGCTCTTGGGACCAGAAGTAACTAATTAACTAACTCCATTTCTCAATGCCAAACTTCAATAATTCTAAACACAGGAATAGCAATAAGCAATGTTTATTCTATTTTTGGCACCTGTATTTAAATTAATGCAAAACAACTTTTTTCACATCAACAGTGTTCCATGGATCCTTGGATTATGTGAAAGGTGTGAACTTATTCATAATTCAGGACCTTGTGTTGAAAACTGTAAGAATCACATTTTAAAGGATTACCATTATAAAGAAGAGTTCTGTACAACAAAATTATCACTATGTATCAAGAGATGGCCAATGTGCCTGGGATACAGGGACCACAAATATTTACAAGCATTTCTTCTAAAGGAAGTTTTGTGGCTGCTGTTACATTATAGGTTGAGAAGAGAACGGCGCACCCTCCAGTTTAGAAGATGCTCTCTTCCCTTCCTACCCACCTCAAATATCAGAATACTTAAGGTGATCCATGAGCTAGCAAGAAAGGGGTGATACTGGGTTCAAACCAATTCTAATTTGCTAAATCACTAATATAGTCTTTAATGCAATATATTACTGAATTCTTCAGATTGTCCTGACAAATTTCTATTTCATGGAGTAAGTCCACAGAAAGTCCTCTGCAGTTATTTGCAAAGGAGATTCTGCCAATAATTAGGAAGACCCATCCCAAAGCTCATCCACAATAAAGTCAGATTCATAATCTCCGTATCATTAAATTAGGCATTCGAGGTATATGTAACAATCCTAAAACAATGAACTAATTTGTGAATAGAAGAACAATGCGGTATTTGAAATTATCAATAAACTACGCAATGAGTACCATTATTTCATACACTTATTACCCCTTAGGGCACCACATAAGTATTCAGATCACACAGCATGGTCAAATATTTTGATAAATAAGTAGAGAAACTTTTAGAACTTAATTTGATTTACAGAAGAAAAAAAGTTTTTTCAAAATATCTTCAACACAATCACATGGCAAGTTAGAGAGGAGGATGTCATTCCTGTAAAGACATCGCTACCTACCACCTCTATGACACAGCTGCTTGGCTGGTTTTTCTGGAAGTGGTACTACATTAGCAACCTCACCCTCTATCTCTGCTGGCTGTGTCCCTAGAAAAAAGAGGTTCATTTTTTGTCCCAGAAAGTAACTACTAATTATTGGGAAAATGTATTTCTTAACTCCTCAGGAACCAAACTCCTCGGTGGTAGTTTTTAGTAATTCTCACCTGATTATAAAGCCTAGTTTTCATCAGTGGCCGTTCTCAACCAGGGGAGAGTTTGCTCCCCATCCCCCACTGCCATTTTGGGGGCGGGGAGGGGGTGCATTTGACAATGTCTGGAGGCATTTGGGGTTTTGACAATTAGGATGGAGGTGGGGATGTTACCGGGCAGACGCCAGGGATACTGCTAAACATCCTACAATGCACAAGACAGCCTCCCATGACAAAATGTCAGTAGTGTCACTGTTGAGGAACCTAGATCTGTGGTGTCATTTGCGCCCACCCTAAAATGACTATTTACCAGATCTTCTTTTTTCAGAAACAACTACCAATATATTTCTGGCAAGATTAGATGAATCTACCACATCATTCTTATATTTACCTGAAAGGAATATAGGCTGTATCTCCAAAGATTAATATTCTATATGCTTCTTCTGGAGTTCTCCCCAAATATATAACCTACATTTGAAGAGAGAAGAAAAAGGCAATTTACTCCTAAATGCAGATACAGTGCTCTCACTGCAAAGTAAATTTTGTCAATTTCCAGCCAGTCAGCTGGGTTCTCCAGCCTTCCCAAGGACCCTATGAGTCACTCAGTACCCTGTCAGCGGATTCCTTTTTTGTTTAAATCTGCCATTGCTGGTTTCTGTCGCTTGTAATATGAGCCCTGACTAACAACTGTTCACAGGAATCTTCTCTGGTAGGAAGCACAGCACTTTTAAAAAAAGATTTTCCAATTCAAGATGTTAGACTAAGCACATGCTTGCAATGTCACCTCCTTCCTGAAAGTCCACTGAAACGACAGTTAAGAAGCCTAGGGGAGATGGGGTGGGGGTTGGATTGGGGTGAGGTGGAAAGAAACACAAAGGCAGTACAAAGGTTTTGACCAGCTCCATCCATTTAGGTTTAAGAACTTAAAACTTAAGAACTTCTTTTGTCCTTAGAACTTTGTGATGCTTCAATTTTCATCTGGGAAAATACTTTAAGTACATTCCTTAGCATGTGAGGTCCACAGTTGGTATTCCTTGCATTTCCAGAAATTTCTTTTTCCTGCCTTGACATTCATTGTTTCTTTGCATAGGATTTTTGGTCTGTAGTCATTTTCTCTCAATAGTTTACAGACATTGTCTCAATGTTTTCTCATTTCTAGTGTTACAGAAGTATTTCACTAGTCTAAGTCCCTGCTCCTCCTCCTTCTCCTTACAAGTAACTTGTTTGTTTAGAAACTTAGAGTTTGAGAATTTCACTGGCATCTCCCCACATAAATCATCCCCCATTCTCCATTAAGTTGACCTGAGACTTCCGAATCTTCCTGAAGGGCACGTTCAACTCACATACAGTGGGCAGGGGAGTGGGGCATACAGCACTAGATTTGGTGTATATATTATTACCAAAATTAGGTTAAATTCTAAAGCTTATTTTGGAAAAATATATTTTAGATTTTACTAATAAAAAAGAAATCACTAGAAAAGTTAATTACAAACTTTTTATCTCCATTACTTAACATCGTATTAATATATGTGACCTGTTTCCTCAACCAAATTATAAGCATTCTGAAGTGAGGACCCCGTCTTACTATTTCATTATATATGGAGTCTGATTCATTCACTACTTCACTGAACTCAAATCTCCCTAAAATAGTTAGGAAATTTAAATTATTTGATAAAAAGCTGACATAAATGTAAAATATTATTGGATCAAGAAAAATTATTAAAAAATCAAAGACCTTTGAAACTTAGAAAAAGATATATCCTAAAACTAGTCATAAGAGTTGACTTAGCTTCCAGAGGGCATGTCATCAATTTTCTGTTTTAAGACTCATAAATGGAAATTCTTCCCAATGTCTCTAGCTTGTTTCTTAATATGATTTCATCCCATTTACTCTAAAAAAAAGTATAAAACTGTAGTTAACGCTACAGAATCTTCAAACATTTATCTACAGCAGCATATGAACCTACAAAAGGTCTAACAAAAGAACAATCAATTCCAAGAATAAAGAAATATTTTATTAAATCTTATCTAACAGTCAACAAATTTTCAAATACAATATTACTGACTTATAAGATTGTAAGTTATCATGAACTAACCACAAGAATATCATCGATAATCTCAATAAATGTTTGTGAAACTCATTTGTCCCCACCTTACTTGCTCTACATCTCCTAAGCATCAACCTATCAATTGACTTCCTATTTTATTACTATTTATTTGGAAAAACAGCATAACAACTACTTCATGAAAATTTTAAAACTTTTAAAATCCAGCCTGTATTTTCAAATTCCCTCATTCTCTCCTGGTCTTCAACATGTCTCCTCCCTCTTCTAAGACTGGATAACATCAGTACAGTCTTTTCTTTTCTCCATTCTATTTTAGGACTTCCTAGCAGATCCCCTCCCAAAAAACACCCCTAAAACTAACTAAATAAATAAAACCCACCTTGAAGCCAATGAGGGTGAAAACAGGGTTTGATTCATTTTTGTATTGAAATGAAATCCAGAGACCTGTTTAAGAATTCCTTTAGGTTTCTAAAGACCTTCTCTCAAATTATACAAATTTTTCCTTAAGCACCAATTAAGATAATTCTTCCTGCTTAAGATTGGAGTTCTTTGGTTTCTTTAATTACTAAAATTGCAATAGTATTATTTCCTTTTAATTTTCAAAACAAAAATAGTCTCTAATACATTAAATAACTGTGGGTCAGCCTTGGAACACAAGTTCAATTCAAAGAACACAAGAACAATGTAACATTTTTTCTTACAGGGGAAAAAAACCCTAAATTCCTGATAATGAACTTCAAAAAGTTGTAATTTAAAACTCCAGCTGGGGATGCCTGTATATAAATAGATAATACGAAGCATACTGAGATAAACCCAAGAAAATTTACAGATTCAGAATAAATCCATTTACGTAACCATCAAAGAAATATTTGCTACCAATTGATAATTTTTGCTTTTACATCTACTCATCTTCCTAATTCAAAAGGCCTTCCCAAATGAAATACTAATAATTCTAAATGTGTTACTTAAGAAGAACCCTATAAATGGCTCCTAAATTAACACAAATTCTGAGCTTAGTAAACTCTAGATCTATGCAATTTTATGATCTATCACTGTGCTCCTGGCAATATGGACCATAGGCACTTCTCAAATTCTTTTGGTATATTTCATGAGAAGCTATGCAAATGGTATGCCCACTCTAATTCCATAGTGCTATTTGAAAGTAGGAAACAACAAATGATGACCAAGAGAGATAATAAACAGCTGTGATAGCCAGCTTCTAAGACAGCCCCAAAGATTCTTATATCCTGGAATTTCTACCCTCATGTGGTCCCCCCTCCCACAATGGACAGAGTGCCCGCGTGGAAACATAGGACACTGCAGTAATAGCAGAGTGTAAATTCTGAGACTAGATCACAAAAGATGTGGCTCCTGCCTTGCTTTCTTAGAACCCTCACTCTGGGTAAAGCAAGCTGTCATTCTGGGAGGCTACTCAAAGCAGCCCACGTGGTGGGGAGCTGAGGCCTCCCGCCAACAATCAGCACAAACTTGCCAGGTATGTGAACAAGCCACCTTATCAGTGGACCCTCCAGATGACTGCAGCCTAGACAAGATCCATCCGGAACCAGGCCGGACCCACTCAAGTCAAGCAACTCCCAGAAACCTAACCCACAGAAACGGATTGAGTTTACTGTTATTTTAAGTCACTACATTTTGGGGCAATTTGCTGTTATCTATTGCAGCAATAGATAACACAGTAGCACACTCAACAATGAGGAAATGACAAGTGCAGATGTGTGGCTTAAGAAGCATAAGTAAGACCCACTTGTCTCTCTTGGATAAAGAATCTCTCTGAAGGAGCAAATAGCAATCTCACCAGAAGAATAAGATATTGTGATAGAAACTAATTGAAACGTCTGTAGTGGTTTTCAAACTCATAGTACAAGGTTATTTTTGCTGAACGAAACCTGGGAGGTACTCAATTAGCTGTGGATGGATGAATAAGTAACTGAAGCAAAAAGATCACAACTCGATCATTTATCATTTCAATTCTGATAAGCCAGGCCTCAAATAATAAAAGCCCAATTAGACATGTGTTTCTTATTTCTATTCTTATATACAACATTTTGAAGCTTTACTTATATACTTAGAGAGACTCTGGTACAGTTTAAAAACCAAAACACTACACAAGTCATCACATTCTAGAGTTAACAACAACAAAGGGTATTTAAATTCCAACAACAAATGTGGCAGCCTGAGAAACCAGCAAACTATTTTCAAATATTCTTCATGGAGAAATGTCACAATGTTTTAGCATTTAAAAATTCTCGTGACTATTTTCACGTATCTGCCAGAAGATACAGTCTTTCCTATGCCAAGAGCTTGATTGATTTAAAAAAAAAACTTTCTCCAGATTAACACAGAAAGCTCATGAATCAATGCCAGTTGGAAATAAGCTTACGAAGTCAACTGCTAAATAAAAAAAGGTGAGCAAGAGCAAGAATATACATAACAATTTTATGGAATAAAATAAATAAATAAGATAAAATCACTTTCACAGCTCCTACGCAAGCACTGGTAAAAAAAAGAAATTCTAAGTCATTTTAAAAAAAAATCAGATAGCCTTACATTTCCATAGTTTTACCTTTTCAAATTACCTTTATTTATATATAGAGTAGGTATATAGTAGGTTAGTACAATGATCCTTAATTTAGGCAGAAAGAAGCAGGAAGTCCAGAGTAGCAAATACCCATTTACTGCGGCCAGACAACTAATAAAAATGAGTGACCTGGCCCTGGGAATAAGTGCACATGGCACATACTATGTGAGTGGTAGGGATGTTTTTTTTTTATTCTTGATTTTTTAAATGAAATCTCCTAATTTTTAAACATTGAGAAAAAAACTCCACAACTAAAAATACTCTGTGAGTTACTATCATAAAACTGGCAGGCTACTACTTTCTAAACTGTGGCATTAACTGCTCATCTAAGATCACACTGCTTGTTATTGATGGAAGAGGTCAGACTGCTCAGGCCTTATTTATAGACAAGAAGCCATACTATCTAAAACAAGGGCTGAAACAAGGACGGAATCCAAAATTCCAGAAAGCTTAATAGATCTGGGGTAAAGGATCATAAATGGTCTGAGGGCCATTTCTCTTCCCTGGTTCCCAAAGTTAGTACCACCCAGGAAGTACCACAGGCAGCTGAAATGCCAGTCAGGCTCACTCGGGTGAAGAGGGAAGTAAAACTGTGATAAGAGTGGCTGTCGCGCCACAGGGCCATCCCTTCTCTCGGCTCAGCTGGCCTCATGCTACCTAGCATCTGGCTGTTATTTAGAGCAGCCTGGTTGCTGTTTGCCCTGCCGTTCACAGGACACCCAGGAAGGGTGTTTACGACCTCATTCTATCCTCTGGCCTCTGTTGCCCCATCTACTGAACTGGATGCTCCCACTGCTTCCAGA